ATTATTCTTTGTTCTTCAATACCTAGTTGGTTTATTTGCCCATTCACAGAGGAATGTGGACCAGAGTGTTCAGAGAGAAAATTGTAATTGCCAACTGGTCCAACGTGGAGACCCTGGAGAGTGTAACTACTTCAGGTGGCTCGCATCGGCTTATTGTGAGACCAGAGACCAGTAATAAATGGCCCTTCCAAACTCAAGAGTTTTACTTACTTGTTGGGAATGATTTGTGGTATTTTATTTTTCAACTATTAAAGCATGAAAGGAACGATCAAAAGTGCCTGAAAGTCTTTGGGGCTTACAACTGAACCAATCTGTGAGGGACAACAGGCAGGAAATACCAGGTTCCCAGAATACATTTGTCTGCCTTCAGCAGTTTGAAGTCCCTCCACTAGGGCCCAAGGAACCACCAGAGCAGCCTGGCAACACAGGCCAGACACCAGCAGTGTGGACGTCACATTTCACAGGGCTCTGTTGTGAATTCAGGGAACACCAATTCCTTCTCAGTGTGCTGTCCGTGAAGCCTACACCTTTTAAAGATAATACTATTTTTTTTAATGTTTGCTTCTTTTTAAGAGAGAGAGACGGACAGAGTGTGAGTGGGGGAGGGGCAGAGAGAGAAGGAGACACAGAATCCGAAGCAGGCTCCGGGCTCTGAGCTGTCAACACAGAGCTCAATGCCGGGCTCAAACTCATGAACCGTGAGATCGTGACCTGAGCCACAGTCGGACACTTAACCGACTAGGCCACCCAGGCGCCCCCATAATACTATTTTCATTATCAGAATTTGTTCAGTACCCCTAGTTATGACCACCTTTAAAATTTAACTTATCTCAGAAAACAAAATTAACTTTACAGTAAATATTTTAAAAGTGGTGTGTTTTTTGTTTGTTTGTTTTTTTTTTTTTTTTGAGGGGGGTGGTGGGCTGGGGGCGGGGGGAGCAAGCCCATACAGTTCAGTGAAACCCATTTATGTATTTTTTTTTCTTCTGCATTGTACCTCTTATTAATTTCTCTCCTCAGATTCTAGTTCTGAATATTTTGTGGAAAAGTCCTCTTCTTGGACTCCAGAGTCCTTATTTCCTATGAGATTATGGTGGCATTTTGTTATAATAATAAAAATAACAGCAGTTACTACCATGGATGTGAGACTTCATGTTGACGACCAGGCACATGCCTACTGCTTTATGTGGTTCCAGCATCTCATTCAATTCTCTAGAAACCCTATGAGGTAAACATTTTTATGGCACCAATTAGCACTTGAGGACTCAGGCTCAGCTAAACTGAGAGAGCCGAAAGAACAACCCCAGACTTAAGAATGATGAAGCCACTCCAGTCTAAAAAATATTTTCATTGTGACCTCACTTTGATTACATGAGCAGATTTCTGAAAAGTGGCACATAAATTGAAGTGTTTTGATTAAATCATTATTAAACCATTAAGCGTGTACATTGAGTGGGTGCCTGGGTGGCTCAGTCGGTTGAGCGTCCAACTTCGGCTCAGGTCATGATCTCGTGGTTCACGAGTTCAAGCCCTGTGTCCAGCTCTGTGCTGACAGCTCAGAGCCTGCAGCCTGCTTCGGATTCTGTGTCTCCCTCTCTCTCTAGCCCTCCCGCTCATGCTCTGTCTCTCTCTCAAAAATGAATAAACATTAAAAAAGTTTGAAAAAGAATGTACATTGAAGAAACTGGTGGTCAACCCAGGGCAGTGCTGGCATGTGGTTAGAGTAGGGGGTAGAGTTGTGTTGAAGTTATTTGTGGAGAAAGCACCCTTTATTTGCTTAAATTGTATTTTTCTCCAGATTGCTACCATAGAAATATTTTCTAAAGATGTTTTGTTCACACTTTGTATAATATTGAGTATACTTAACGAGTATACTTTTTTTCATGACTGTTATTAATTTGGGATACTTTTTCAAGGCTGATACAGATTATGGGAGCCTAAAACTCTTCTCTTCATAATAAAAACCAGAATCCACTTTTATATGTGAGTGATGATCTTTGACATTCTTACGTGCCCAGATTTTCTTACCTCTTTTTCCTTTGAAGAATATCTGTTCAAGAGATTATGCCAGCATGTCCCGGAACACAGATCTTTCCGCTGAATTCTTTAGTAGTATCAGAATAAAGTTGATTATGAAAGCCATTTTTCCTTATAGATACCCAAGAAGTTTGGTATGCAAATCTGACATTCATGACAACTATGTTACTTGGATTCTAGGAAACATATCACAGCAGTTGACAGATTCATCTCACAGTGGTTTCTGAATGCCTAGCATCCCTTCTCCTTTATGGCCTTATATCTTCTACCCAAAGGGCCCATGATCCAAATAAGCCCTTCATTTCCCCACAGTTGTTAAATGATATCAATACTGGTTTAAAGGATGAATCCCCAGCTTTCATTTTTAACTCTGCTATCTACTAACTGTAAGGCCTTTGGAAATTAAAAAAAAAAAAAAAAACACTATTTTTCCAAATTACACTTTTGCATCTGTATAATGATAAAATCATACTATCTATATAAAAGAGCTGCATGAGGCAATGTATCTAAAAGTTCTGCTAAAGAAAACTAAATAAGATGCAAAAATCCATATATCCACAAGGCATATGTTCTGATTGTAAGGGTTTTCTTTTATAAAGCAACTTGTTGGCCTACATAATCTTAGGTGGGTAGAAGAGAGTAGTGTGATACATGGTATGTAGGAGCATTATCTGATGTCTTAGCCTTACCTACTTTCCATTACTATTGAAATCCACCCAGCTCCCTCCCCTCCTATAAGTCACACTTCAGCCTTGCAGCAACTTAACACAGCACTCCTAAAGGAATACCTAAACCTTAGGCTATATGTAGATTCATACAGGGTGTTTGTTTTTTATTGTGGTAAATATACATAATATAATATTTATAGATTTAACCATTTTTAAGTATGGAGTTCTGTGGCATTAAGTACATTCATAATGTATTAGCATTATCACCACCCTCTATCTCCAGAGCTTTTTCATCTTCCTCAACTGAAACTCTCTACCCATTAAATAACTTCCTCTTCCTCTCTCCCCCTACACCCTGGTAACCACTCTGGGTACATATTTTAATTATTAGCAGTAATGGATAAAATAACACTACCTGCTATAATGAACAAGCCCTAATATTTATAATGGTTCAAAACTGTTTGACTCTATAAAGTAGAAAAAGGATGTTCCTGATTGACAAGCAGTTCTCCCAGCTCTTCTCCAGAATTCTTGCAAATCTGGACTGCTCCATCATCCCTATATGGCTCCCAAGGTTCCCATGCTTGACTACCCCAGGCCCACAGGTGAAGGAAGAGAACACAGAGGTGACCACGTGTGCAGTTTTTCTAGGCCAGACCTAGAATCAGCACATGTTGTGTAACCTCAAACTCACTGGGTATGCTCGGTCACATGACCTTGTCTCGCTCCCACAGGGGCTGGGAAATACAGGCAAGCACATGAAGAAGAAATGAGTTTGAGGATGAACCAGCCAGTCTCTGCTATATCAGTCAAATTAAGATTGTATAGATGCTCAAGAATCACCATTAATTCCCTTAGAACTTTGTGGGGTTTTTTTCTCTTTGGAGACCTAATTTGCCCTGACAGACATTTTAAATATTTCCCCAAACATAATAAAACCCCATGGCAAAATTAAAACGCACATATAATTCCATTGAAATGCAAGAGACAGTATCTAGAAATAGAAGCCTTAAGTATCAGTTGAGTCGGGACACCTAGGTGGGATGCTCAGTAGGTTGAGCATCAGACTCTTGGTTTTGGCTCAGGTCATGATCCCAGGGCTGTGGAATCAAGCCCTGCATTGGGCTCTGCACTGAGCATGGAGCCTGCTTAGGATTCTCTCCCTCTGCCCTTCTCCCCTACTTATGCACGTTCTCTCTCTCACTCTGTCTTTAAAAAAAAAAAAAAAAAAAGGAGGAGGAGGAGGAGGAAACTGTTGTCTAGTTTAGGAGTTTCTTCTTCACCTGTCAGTAAATTATAAGAGACCAACGAGGATACAAATGTCTACAATAATGTGTGTTCTTAAAGAATACTTTAGTAGTTATTGTTTCTTATATGTTAGCATCTATATTCACAGGGCTTGTAAATTATAAGGAGGAGGAGGAGAAGGAGAAGGAGGAAACTGTTGTCTAGTTTAGAAGGAGTTCCTTCTTCACCTGTCAGTAAATTATAAGAGACCACTGAGGATACAAATGGTCTACAATAATGTGTGTTCTTAAAGAATACTTTAGTAGTTATTGTTTCTTATATGTTAGCATCTATATTCATAGGGCTTGTCCTCTCTTAATATGTACTACACCTTGCACCATGATCAGATTAATTCATTTGTCTGGAATCACTGAGGCAGTTTTTGATTGGGAAATGAATTGGACACACATAGATGTGGCTTGATGAACAAGGCAAGTAGACACGTTGCAATTTCTCCTCACGTAGAAAGGAATCTACCCTCCTTCACTAATTGCACTTAACGTAACCACAGGAACTCAAGCTCCATGCACATCAACACTTAGCATCTGCCTTTTCCTTTCATACAATGAGAGAAAATGCATAAATGCATTTGTTGGCAATACTGACAAAGACCGATTTGTGGAATAATTGAAACCTTGATTTCTGTCATTAGCCGGATGTTTACAAAATGCATCTTCCTGTCTACATTCCAGATGTTTCTTCTTATTTTAATAGCTCTTTGTCATGAGTTGTGAATTCTAAATTGTAAAATGTCAAGGGAAAAGACTTTAGTTTGCAAGTTTCATGGGAATGGCATAAACTTGAACTCCCCCAGAACCCTGTAATATTTATTTGTAGGCCCTTCCAATCTATTTCCCATAGTAAGCCAGAGGCCTTGATTTACAGCAGAGTCAACACTAAATGAGGAAGCAGACTTCGGTCCACCTCACTGCTTTGGCACATTAAGTAAATGTTTGGCTAAAAGTACTCATGTTAAAATAATCTTTCCCTGAAACTTTTATTTCCCAGGGAACGAGCATTGAATACATCCCAGCCTGGGTCCCTTCAGCTTACTGTGGGAAACCTGAAGCCAGAAGCCATGTATACCTTCCGAGTTGTGGCCTACAATGAGTGGGGACCAGGAGAGAGTTCTCAACCCATCAAAGTGGCCACTCAGCCAGAGTGTGAGTATGAAAATAGAAGGGCACATTTAGAAACTATTTCTTCTTGCTGGCAATATCCTTGAATCCTGTCATAGAAATTTCTTAAGGTAACAAGATGGAAGGAATATTTCTGAAGCAACGCATTAAACTCAAGGATTTTTAAAGGTAAGATAACTTTTTAACAAAATGGCCTCCCCGTTTAGGCCATAACGGCAAATTGACAACTGTTAAGGCCTAATCCATCCACGCAGTCTACATGTTCACTTCCTAAGTAAGTAACTAACTCTGCCAGCCAGGCCTTTATCATCCACATTGGGTATTGGTCTTCTCCACTGATTTTTTATGGGGTTTTCCAAGTTTGTCTATCAAGAATGTAACATCAAAGGTGAAAGAACAACCATATAGGACTTCCAAATACAGGGACTTATCAAATAACTTAAACATGCACTGAATGCCCTTAAGGAGATTCCAAAAGCAAGCCACAGCTCAAGAAATAAAAAGAGATAATCACTATTGGGCAATCTCATGATCCTCTAACTAAAATCACTATATTAAACCACATCTTCACAAAGTAAAACAGTTGAATGTTCTTTGACCATGTTATAATTCACGGATTTCTACTTTTAAAATGGAATAGCTCCAAAGCTATACAGTTGAAAGATGTCAATCTTATAAAATTTTGTGGGTTTTTTTCTATTAAACTTCTAATGTTATTTGGAAAGATTGATTACTGATGAACAGTTTGCCAGCTTTATCTTGTTAAAATTTTTAAAAATTATAATCGAAAGTCTAAATGAAATGAATGACTACTTGTAACAAACTACATTATTTAGACACCTAGTTGTATCTACTCCTTTTTCTTTTCATTCATGATACTATTCCGTTTGGGTTCCTGTTCATTTTATTTTTAAAAAAACCTATGTTTCATTTTAGAATCATCTCACATGCTTTTGGAAGATGGTGAAGTAGAAATTAGAAATCTTTTAATTGATAAATATGAGGAAATAATCTTTGCATGTCAATTTTTGGGTGTTTTAAATTAGCATGTTGATGAAGAGGAAGCAGTAACCCTCTGATATGTAGTCTAGTGCTGGTTTCATGCTCTATACTTAGCAAAATCTACATTCTTCTTGTTTCTACTCAGACAAGGTCACAAAGACTAAATGTTAAGAAATTGGAATAAAAAATGTGTTAGTGGTTGGAGAGAGGGCTGAACTGTACAAATCTTAGAAATATTTGCCTCGTAGAAATAAAATGCCAAACAGCATCTTTAAAGGCATAGTATGTACAGGTATCAGATAATGTTTAGGAAATACAGGCTCCAACACAGGATCCAGAAGCTACAGCAGGGCACTAAGCCACATTCCATGCAGTACGTTAGGTGACATCACTGGTTGTTATGCCCATAAATGAAGCCAGTTCTATCTCTAAGTATCTGTTCTTGAGAACGTTTTTAGTGTTTGTATTTAAATCACTAAATAATGCCAACTTCCATTTCACAATGTCATGTTTTAGTCATCAGTTTCTTTATTAACTTATTCTTTATAGATCATATATAAAGAGAATCAATATCTTTTATGAATATATGATATTTATAATCAACAAAGTTGAATAAAAACAAATTAGGTAAAAAAATATATATATATATATGTACACACACACACACATATATATATATATAATTTTTTTAAATGGTGCATGCCATGTTGTATGCAGACCAACAATTTAAAAACTCATCAGAAACTCTCTAAAGGAAAACCTCATTTAATTTTGTAATGGTAGAACATAAGTGTTAAAAGCTTATTTATTTTCGAAAGATCCAATATCTATGAATTATCTGAATTCTTTACTTCCTAATCTTAATGGTATCCTAAGAATTTGTTTTAGTGTACATTTCAAGGCTGACTGGCCATGATTATATTATGTTTCTGATAAAAATCATAGGGAGACAGCCTTGTTTTTTTAAGACTGAGCAACATTATTTTTTCTTCTATCAATTCCATTGTTTCTAAGTATCCAACTAAAAATATCAATTTATAGAGTTTTATTTTTAACTTACTTTCTCTTATGCCAACTATTCTTTTTTTTTTTTTCAATGTTTATTTATTTTTGGGACAGAGAGAGACAGAGCATGAATGGGGGAGGGGCAGAGAGAGAGGGAGACACAGAATCGGAAACAGGCTCCAGGCTCTGAGCCATCAGCCCAGAGCCCGACGCGGGGCTCGAACTCACGGACCGCGAGATCGTGACCTGGCTGAAGTCGGACGCTTAACCAACTGCGCCACCCAGGCGCCCCTTATGCCAACTTTTCAAAGCCAAGGAACAAGAAAGTATTTTTCATTTGACCCTGACTCATTTCATGAAAATACTACTAATTATATAATATTTTCTACCATATTTAGTATCATTAATAAAAAGAAAATCAGACAGTGATTATTTGTATCACACATATGGCCTTAGCTTATAAAACAAAAACAGTAACATAATTCAATTTATAAATATGTTTAATGAACATCTGCTATGTTCCTAATACTGTTTCCTGCCATCTGAAGCATGTTAGAAAAGCATATGTGTGTAATGAAATAATAGCACTTATGGATTTCAGAAGATTCTTAAGGAGGCAAATATTCCAAATGTGTAACAATAACAAAACAAAGTAAGGGAACTTGTAGGAAGTTGTTAAGTGAAATATTACCATTTCAATCATGGGTTTGCATGTGGGCCCATTACCTGGGATGGTTGAGGCATAGTGTCTAGTTATTTTTGTATTTTTAAATTACATCATGCCTGCTTCCTCAAGCAAGTGTTGTATTTCAAAGACAGTTGCCTTAGCCCTTTTGTATGTCTTCCATTCCTCCTCATTCAGTAAGTAGTCTGAGAATTTGTGCAGAGGACCTTATGTGTGCTGGTTTCAGTAAGCATTTACTTTGCTTAGAAATTAGCATAAATGATGACAAAACTAAATGCCTGACTGAATAAAGTATGTTGCTTGTTAGAACTGTTGCCTGATATAAGTGATCTTTTCCCCAGAAAATGAAATGTAGAATCTTTCTGCTTTGGTAACATGAAGGAGCTTAGAATTTTTTCACCAAGGGCATAATAATGACCTTAGAATTCTAACATGTGTTGGCCTTTAATAACAGTATCATTATTAAATCACTTCTGTTCTTACTGCTGCATGGAGTAAGAATTCTTTCCTTTACAGGCCATTGTTTACTTGAATGGGGGTGGGGAGTGACCTGATTCTGTTTTGTTGAGAATTGCCTTAGATAATTCCCCTCTTACTTAATAGATACATAGATAAGAATAAATCAGGCTAGATAAACAGTACATTCAGAATATCCTTTAGATGTACAAAACAGTTAGCCAACTCCTTCAATTCATTTACATTAAGAATACTGTGTAGCTCACTTGCTGTCTTTATTACAGACATTAGAATAAATAAATTATGTTATCATGACTAATAGGTACTATATGTGTATTTTATCTTCTGTTGTTAACACAAAATGCCATTTTGGCAATTTAAAAATATGTCTAAGATAAGGAACACTTCATCTTCTTCAAGCCTGCTTGATAGTGTACCAATTGCTGAGGAAGATGGAACATTCTAGAGATCCTGTGCTTCATTTCCTCTCCTCTCCTCTCTTATTTCTCCTTTGTCTCTCTCTCTCCTTTCCTCCCCTTCTAGCCCCACACCCCCCCCCCCAGCTTATGAGCCTACTGTTATTTTTTTTAGAGGAAGTTCAAAGGCTGATTTTATTATTTGGCTAAAATTCAGAATTTAGAGGCAAGGGAGGTGGGCAATTCTATCATTATTACTTTCCCTGACAAAATGATCTCATCTTTTGAAAATGGGCTTCATCTGGGTATGCATTTGGTTGCTCCTTTTATCACTGTTTTTCCAAATATGATGTAGTAATTGTACACTAAAATTACATAGCTTTTATACAAATTGAATTTCAAGTTTTCCATAATATTTGAAAATATTAACTCTATTATGAAAACCATATTCTCAAGGAATAAACACTAATGGAAAATATGTCTGAAATATAAATCAGCCAGCAACTGTTTCTAAAACTGCATACATTTTGTAGTAATCATTTAAAGAGATCAACAGCCCCAGATCCAGTTTATGAAATAATCACCCAGAATCGAAAAGCTTGATTTAAAGGAAGGTTTATGTCCCCTGATTATATCTTCCTTTTGCTAAACCCTTGCTTCTTCCCCCTGCCTTTATGGTGTGTAATTTCTCCACTGTATTATCAGCTGGATTTAAGTCCCTGCCTGCTTAAGACTTGTCTAATCTTTTCATACCACATGTGGAGAGTTTTTGAATTATTATTTGGGGTCCTTTAAGATGCTGTTAAGGCAGTTTAATCGTGAAGAATGTTAAAATGGACCACATACTGGCCTAGGGCTTCAGTTAGAATGGGAAACCTATTTGCTAGACCACAACCCAATTATCCACAAAACCCTTTTATATTTGAGTTGTGAGTAATATTCTTAGTCCATTATATTTACACTGAGAAGATGAGTGAAATCCACCCCCCACCAGGTTGAGTCACTTTAGAATACATTATCCAGAAGCATAGGCATATTTTCTTTTTTCCCTCCTTCCATGGATATTCATTCATTTATTGACTCATTCATTCATTCATTCATTCGAATAGGGCTCTACTTGTACAGTTGTTATGAGGGAAATGAGAAATTTCTGAACATCATTTGTTCAATATTAGTACCTGAATCCTAGGGCAAGTTTCTTAATCCTTGAGACCTCAGTTTCCCTAACTATAAATTGAAGATATGATTTATCCCTCTTCTTTCTAGAAGAAATGTGATAACATATGAGAAGCTCCTGAGTCTTCCCTGGCATCAAGTAGACAGTCAATAGAGAGAAACTCCCTGCCCCTGACAGGATCAAATGGAAACATAATCCCAACTGCCCTGCACTTAACAAACAAAGTGGGACACTCAGTAGGTAATAAAGTTCATATAATACCTTTTTGATAGTTTGGAACTAG